CTTCATCCAGCTCTGGGCCAGGTTTTCATAGAGAGACCACCCGACGGATGTAATTTGCTTGTGCTACCTCTCCTACCAGCTGGAGAACCCGATGGCCTGAGATGGAAGTATTTGCACGAGCAGGCCTGTAGGCAGCCACAAGGGTGGTGGGAGGCTGAGCAGGGCAGAAAGTGCCCTCCTTTGGTCTCCATCCATACTCAGGAGCAAAGAAGGAGAGCAGAAGATCCATAGAAGTTTCTGTGCTGCCTACTTCAAGTGGCTATAGGAATACAGCAAGCCTCATGCCTGTTATGTCCCCCATCGGTCTCTCCCTGTGGCCTCTTCAGGTCCAATTTATTTAAATGGGAGGCGGATGGAGCTTTGTTCACAGCACACCATGTCACAAGTCTAGCAGTGTTTTGTTGCAGAGCAGTTTAGACCGCCTTTGGGGCACTTTAGCAGATGAAATGTTTGCCTCCTGGTCACTCACCAGCAGGAAATGGCTGATCCAGCACTCGTCATTGCTGTCAAAAATCATGCCAATAAAAACAGAGGAGTAAAGTAGCTGGTTGAAAATAGAGACAGGCCCAAGTGAGCAGCTGGATCTATATGTCATGTAAGCCTCCATCACTGCAGTGGGACTATGCAGATGCCAGATGCTAAGGAAGGCCCTCTGGCCATAAAACACAAGGCTATAGAGGTGTTTTGCACCAGCTCCTGATGCTCATACCACTTCAGCTTTTTCTTCTATAGGTCTCTGAATTAGTCTCTTCACAGGTAGCAGAAAGACATTTCTTTGGCCAGAAACTTGTAGCTCTAATTGGCTCAGTACTTAATTCCTTTCTTTCCAGGCTTGCAGCAGCTGCAATCATGGCAGGTCTATCAAGTGTTTTCTGTCCGCTGAGGGACAGGCAGATGAAGGCTTTGGCTCTCAGTTCTTCTGGCTTGTCATTTTTATCAGGCTGTGTCCTCCCCCTTGGTCATTACAGGATAAGAAAGGCATTTTACTGTATTTTCTCAACCTTTAGCTTGTCCATCATTCCATGAGCAGGCTGCAGCAGAGAAAGAGAAGAGATAAACTAAGGGAGGGGGGGAGGGTTGGTTCAGGCCATTAGAGCCGCTGTGGTAAGAAAAGAGACCGAAGGTAGGGCTGCAGTTGAGGGGGATGTTAGAAGGTCAGGAAGGGGGGTGATGACAGGGCTGGGAGTCCAGGGAAAACAGAGCTGCAAAGTTTACATAGGAACCCGCGGGAGAAGGCTGTGGGCAACAGCCTGTTTTGCTTGTCTTTAAAGGCAGCTATGAAAGGGGGTGGGGGAAACATCAAAGTACAGTGTAGACAGGGGAAGAAGAGGGAATCTCCTGTGAGCTGGTGTGAGAAGGGCAGACAGACCATCTCTGGGGGTATTAGGGGATACAGCTGTTGCCAGATGTGCCTGCAGAAGAAATCATAAGGTCCATCCATGTATAACATGTAAATGGGAAGCTCCTAGTAGAGTCATGGGTAAGTCTCAGCTCTTGAAGGGAAAATTACCTGATCAGGCACTTAGCACAGGGATGAGCAGGCTAAAGTTGGCCTGCTGGGAGGTGCTGGGAGGATGGGGGT